GAAATACAGTTATGAGCCAACAAGCGTTCAAAATTGGTACTCTCGCCATTTTCAGATTGTGACTACCCGTTTTTTTCAGTGGACTCCTCATCTATTTTTAAAGCAATTAACCTACTTATTGACCAAAACCAAGCGTACTGTGAACTGTTGTGAATGCAACCTAACTTGTGTTTCACGCGCTCATAATATGACCCTATGCAGTTGCGAGCGCTGTAAAACTCTTACTAAACTAAACAAAACATAATTTCTACCTACATGATGAGTCTGCTGTGGTCATCCAAATGGCCGTGGTTATAAATGTCCAAGAAAGTCTTGCGTAGAATCCGGATATTCGGGTTCCTGTCGTAAACTTTGAATTCCACCCATCTTTGATCGATGACATTTCGCTCCGAGGTACTCACTACAAATATGATTACAGCTCTGTGGAATAATAATAGTCACACACGTTGTTTTTCAACTAACTGTGAGTGGAATGATTTCAATTGTCAACCAGAAAAAAGAAGACAAAACTAAATTTTTTTAAATCACAAAAAAATATAACTTTGGGTAATATGATTGCTAGTTGTCAACCAGTGCGAATGAAGACTGAAAAATTATCTATTCAAAGAAATAGAGAGCAAAATTTCAGTCAGATATCTAATCTTAATTTAAAGGACTTTTATATTCAGCAGCTGAAAAAGATTAGGTTGATTAAAAGAGACGATTTTCTGGAGTCCTTTTTCTATAAACTGACTCAAAACAAAACGAACAAAAAAGTCTTTCAAGATCACGCCGACAATTTTTTCACTCAGAATGCAAATAAAGAAATAGTAACCTCGTGCATAAAAATCAATACAGGGCAAATCATCAGGACCTGAACACAGGTTCTAAATTCTAAGCATGTGACAAAACTATGGGCTTATAAAAATTAGACATCTCACTCTCTACCTTTTCAAAATGTATACTGAATCACAAGCTGAACTATCAGCTTGCAAGCCTCAAATGTCTTGCTCTCAGCCAGAGTTCAAAATGCTCTCTAAATTACTCAACTGTGGGCTTGAAAGTATCAATGTCTCACTCTGTATTTGGGTTCAAAATGGGCCTGAAAGCATCAATTTTTCACTCTCAACCAGTTCCTAAAGTTAACCAGATTACCAAGCTCCAGGCTTGCGGCATCAAATATGTCACTCTGTACCTGGGATTTCCGTAGAGTTCCCACGCTTTAATCAAGCCGTAGGCAAGTCCCACAGCAGGCTTGTTGTCCGGAAGCTGCAGTGAAAAACAGTGTATAGTACGGTTAAGTTTGTACTTGAGTTAATTTGACTAAACATTCACTTGAAAAAAGTCACAGAACACTTTCATTCACTACAGGCCCACGAATCTCCTTTCATATTCGGCATACAGTGAACCAGTGTTTTACATAGTAATATATACTCTAAAGTGTCCTTTATTCTTATCCCCTACTCATACATCTGAAAGACCAAATCTAAAAGAACTTAAGTTCATGCATGAAGAAGCAAAAATGCTATCTCTAGATTTACACAACCGTCTGTACATAACTTTCTAACACTGTGAAACGGAAATCCCATTACATTTAACACAACTCGTCGTATTCTACCATTAAACATAACACGTACTTTTCCATATTGTGAATCACATGTGATTGTTCAGGCAAAATCAAGCCAAAGTTTTAATTAGACTAGATCATGTGACCAGTTATCTGGTATTCAAGCATCAGTTTCAGCGAAGTAAAGTGTATAAAAATCTACCCCTTATCAATAAGAAAATATCTGAAATTACAATAAGCTAAACATACAAACAAACAAACAAACAAACAAACAAACAAACAACAACAACAACAACAACAACAACAACAACAACAACAACAACAACAAAACAATCCTCTTCAAATGTGTAATAAAGAAACACAAACAGAAAAATGACAATGAAATAAATGTGCATTCAGAAATATCTTCCAGAACGTCTTCTAGAACATACAGTTCAACTGTTGTGGAAAACTCATACTAAAAAAATAGAAAAGTATAAAAATAAATAAAACCAAACAAAAATACCTCTTTATGACAAATACTACTTTTCTTTCATTAACTACATCAAACCTACTTTTTTCTAAATGAATGCAAAAACATTATACCGTCGTACAGAGAGAGGGGGAGAGGGAGAGAGAGGGGGTGGGGAGAAAGAGAGAGAGAGAGAGAGAGAGAGAGAGAGGAAGAGAGAGAGAGAGAGAGAGGAAGAGAGAGAGAGATAGAGTGAGAGAGGGAGAAAGAGAGAGAGAGAGAGAGAGACAGACAGACAGACAGACAGAGACCGAGAGAGACAGACAGACAGACAGACAGACAGAGAGAGAGAGAGAGAGAGAGAGAGAGAGAGAGAGAGAGAGAGAGAGAGAGAGAAAGAGAGAGAGAGAGAGAGAGAGCAATTAGACCTCACAATCTGTCTGCAGCTGCACGCAGAGATAGCAGAGTCCGAAGAAAAAAAATGTTTTATACTATTAATTCATTTCATCGCCAGTGGTCTTGTAGTTAAGCTACCGGACTCGTAATCCCCTTAGGATTGCAGGATCGGGGGTTCGAGCCTCAGGCCCGACTTCTTGTCCTTGGGAAAGGTACTTTACACGAATTTTCCTCACTTCATCCAGGTGAGAATGGGTACCGGGCCACAGACAGGAAAAGATGCCAGTATCTTAAAGTATTTTGGCGCCTGTAGAGTGGTAGCCTCCTCTGTATACTTCCGAGAAAGTCGAGATTGTTTCAGAATACTATCAGGTCTGCTGAGAAAGTAATATAAATTGTAAAGCGCATAGAACTTGCTGTTGAGTAGGAATTTGGGCTATACAAATGCTGTCCATTACGATTTTGATTATGATTATGAATATGATTACGATAACGATTATGATTGTTGTTATGATTACGATTATAATTTGGATTACGATTGTGATTTTGACTACGATTATGATTTTGATTATGATTATGATTATGATAGTTATTATTACCTGTGCAAATCTGCCATCTGGCCTGCGATTCCCCCACAACTTGCAGAGACAGTATTGAACTCAATCTGCTTGAGCTCTAGCCGGTCTGCGCTGACAATCTGACCAGGACATACGCTATCATCTAGACAGTTCATCATGAAGTCATTTCGGAACAAGCCGAGATGAAGCGGCTGAGAACAGATGTTGAAATAGAGAACATGGAAACCTTGTGTCAAAAATCATTTAGTAAAATCACCTCCCCCACCCCCCCCCCCCCCCCCCCAAAAAAAAAAAAATTTAAAAAATAATTAATTTAAAAAAATAAATCTAAAAAATCCTTCAAAATACAACAAATAAACAAACTGTTCTACTACAAAACTACATGAAAATATAAACCAAACTAACTGCCCAAAGATCACACACCCGATCTAACTCATTCCATTCTATCCTAACAACTTACCAGCAAGCCATTGAGAGTGTATTTTCATACTTTAAAGAAACAAAAAGCTGACTTTTCTTTTCCTTGCTGGAGTTTCATTTGTCAAATCCATAGATTTATAATATCCAAAAATCATAGATCGTGCACACAGAAATATTTCCAGTTCACTGTAGAGCGCGTTGTTAAGCGCAATTTGAGCATTTGAAAAGTTAGAGAGACTGGTAAAAACAAGGATGCGAGAGATTTTATAGCCTTGTTTTGATACTCTCGATCGATTTTACATTCCATCCCATAAATACAGGGAATCAGAAGAAGAGTAATCTTACTGACAGAACATCATGTACATGTAGGCCTACTTCCAAAAGTCAATACCTGATCCCAAAACCTGCCGAAATGACACAGCTGCTCCTTTTTTAAGTGGCAATACATACACAAATATTGAAAGATTGGCACAACTGTAAAATGGAATAACTATAAACAAACCTTTAAAGTTCAGAAACAAACAACGAATTAAATTTTATTTCACTACCCTCATCATGCAAAATGTGGATCCATAGATATAGGACAATAGAACTATATGCGCTTGTCCCCATCCTATAGGATCTGTAAAAAATGTAGGCCTAATTGTAGCAGCAACGCCCCCCCCCCCCAATCAACACTATTTAGATCACTTGGGACATGGGCTGCGGGCTGCTTAAGCTCTGTCTTTCAGGGACAATGCAAGTTGAGAGGGTCACAACGTTCTACCAGAAAGAATGAGATACTCGATAAAAATTCTCCCAAAGCAGAGACCAATCAAATTTCTTTTGCTTCATTGAAGCCCTTAACAAACCCACCACAGGCACTGGTCTGTCAGAGATAGATGATATTATTATAGCTAGAGGTACTGCTTCATAAGAACAACAGTGGTAATTATTTACCGATGTATGCCATTGTAAATCACATTTCCCAAAGCAGATCAATGGAAGTGGAATTCACTTAATCGATATTCTTAGTTACCTGCTTGATCCCCGACTCTCTGACTTTACAGCAGACGTCCCACAAGCTCAGCATGAAAGGGTCTACTTGAATCACACTGTGGACACGAGGAAAAACACAAGATTAACATAATTAATATGGAGAAGCCATCCCTCCCCCCCCCAATCCCTGAATTTTCAATCCTCTGGTAATTATAAACGTTCTCCATCAGCTTGAATATAGAAATGGGAAAATATAAGCTTATTGAGTTGGCACGAGTAAAATATAAGTTCTTTGGAGTCCAAAATGAGCAGGACTAGTGAAATTGTACTTCCGTCGCACATCTTTGCTTTTCATACCTCTTAGTTCGATGTAGAAAGATCAAATGATTTTTAATGAAAATCAGCATTGTATTCCCGGCACCATAATTTAGTGCTTCTATTTTTATACAGGAACAGAATTCTTGCAAGTAAGTAAATAAAAAATCTCAAAACATCAATGCATAAAAGTAAATGAATACTTCAAATTACAGCTAGAAAAAAAATCATTTGAAAAAATCTAAAAGCAAGGCTTACTAAAAATCTCTTTTTATGAATTAGCGCAAACTGCAGCAGCAATGATCAAGTTGAAAACCGCCTGGAACGACAGAAATATCACCATCAGAGGATCAGACTGGGATCAGACTGTAGCGTTCACTGTTCATATCAATATTTCTGTATGAATGTAAATCCTGGACTTTGAAAGCAGATCTTGAAAGAAGGATCAAAGCTGTGGGGATGAGATACTTCCAAAATATCCCTGGTATTTTATACAAAGATCACAAGGATAAAAAAAACCAATTTGACCATATGCCGACCTTCTCACTCTGGTCAGGAAACACCAATTGCAAAGGTATGGACACATCACCCGTTCATCTGGCCTTGCTAAGATGATCCTGCAAGGCTGGGCTAGGGATAAAGGAGCAGAGCAGAGGCAGACAGAAGAATGGTTGGGAGGACAACCTCAAGGAATGGACAGGCCTGCACCCCAAAGACACCCTCAGGAAAGCTGAAGATCGGAAGGAGTTGAAGAAGCTGGTGGCAAAATCCTCAACAAAAACGAAATACCATGCCGACGGACATCCAGTCTACGGGACAGGTGAAGGTGAAGGTGAATGAAATCAGAAGATCCAACATTTTTTCCGACAAAACACTAAAGAGAGGCCTTTTTCTTTCATAGCCACAATTGCATGGAAGGAAATCTGTCACACGTTCAAAAACAAATTGTACTGCAACAGATGCTACTGCTTGAACATTCAACTCAACAAGGTATAGTTTAGTTTTAGTAAGGTTCTACGGTGCTAGCAACTGCAAACAGTCATATGAGCGCCAAGGGGTGGATGCCAACAGAGAAGTACAAACTGGGAATCAGGCTCACTCTCCTCACAGCTCTAGCCTCAATAGCACGAAATATGCTTCGACTATCAAGCCACCACGGAAATAGCAGTTCACAAGAGATGGACGAACATACATAAAAAGTAGAGGCAAAAATTACGATAGAAAGGATGAGGAAAGAAAAAGCAGCAGTTCCCCTTATGTTGTTCCGGCACAGTATGAGCATGCCATTGACAAATCACCCCTTTAACACTTCTACTGTGTATAAGAACATGGAATTGCCTTAAGACAACTTCAGTCTGTAGCACTGTCCTGGTTGGGGGACAACATTGTATAATACTTTTCCTTAACCCACACAGTGTTTCTACAGGCTCTTTACTTGATTTCGGAACCTGCTGAAGCCTAATTTGGTATCACACTGGACTATGGTTCGGATGGCCCTGGTTTGAATCTACAAAGTGTCATTCTCTAACTTGAGTTGTTTGAGGAGTTTTCAAAGTATTCCGCTGTGGTTATCCTATCAGAGACATACATTATATAAACGGTCCGGTCTCTAAATTAACTTACAAATGGACGTGAAACCCAATCTATTGTATGTACCAATTGTGGACAATCAGTAAGCTGTCCCACTGCACTACTTACTTTTTCAAAGACTGTTCTAAAAACTCGTGGTCCATAGAAACTTTGTGCATGAGCCGGTTGAAGTGAGTCATGGTAGACTTCACGTGCTCTAAGATAGGAGCCGGAACAACGCTGGGAAACAGAGAGTAGGGAGCTGGGAGGTAGACTTCACGTGCTCTAAGATAGGAGCCGGAACAACGCTGGGAAACAGAGAGTAGGGAGCTGGGAGGACTTTTTCTGATTCAGCTCCATCTGCACCAGACCCTACACTGATCCCTGAAAAAAATACCAATCTACGTTTTGTGACTTCAGTAAAACAGATCATTGTAAGAAATGAGGCCTTTGTGGGTTCAGTCACTAACTTACTCTTAGTTAGATGTACTAAATTTCTTTCTCAAGAATTAGAAGAGCACAGAATATTGACATCAAGACGTTGTTTGAAAATCTAAAGTATTCCTTCACCATATCACAGTTTAAATTTCATGGAATTGAAGCTATCGCGGTTTTTAACATCCCCATCGTTAAGTTTCAGAACCTTTGTAGATGAGCTAGCGCCCATATAAAATTAATTTTGATTTTGATAAAATTGTTAGCAATAAATATACTCAACGGTTGTTTTTTTAAAAATACATTGTACTTTAGGTCTCTCAATCACAAAATGGAAAAAGTGTCATAAAAGCATAAGAGATGTTTAAATGGTGGGGAAGGTTTAAGGGAGGGTATAGGCATAAAAACATTATAAATGTATCATTTCCATTTCGCTAATATTTCAATATCCAGGGAAGTTCTGGAATACGCAACTCCTGCGATGTTCAAGGCAATACGGCAATTGCTCTCCGAAGACAAATCCAAATTCCGGGGAATGAATAAGGAAACCTAGGTTTTTGGAGTGCCCATGAACATTTTACAACAAACTGATGCCAGTACAAGGATTCACAAAATGGAAACGTGCTAAATAAATGTAATCCATTATCAACAGAAATTCATTATTAACATAAGTAAATAATAAAACAAAACAAAACAAAAAACAAAACTAAAAACCCCGAAGATAGGAGAGGATCTAACCCATTCATGTACACATCCCTGTAACATTTCACAACTTTGACAAGACTGTACCGTTGCAAAGTGCCCAGTCATTTGTAACACTGAGGATCTCCTGTAGCCTTTTGTCGGACAAGTCCACCTCTTTGATCGACGTCGCCATATTTGCGCAGTCAGCTACACCTGGATGTGTCTGTAGAGAGAAACAAAATGCTTTTTAAATAGTACCTCATGAAAAAAAATGTTAAGTTTCGCTAAATTAACATACTTTTACATACCTTCATCTGCAGAACTATATTATAATAACACCATTCATGCATAAATTTTCCCCAAAAAATTGCTGATAACAGCAATTTCAGATCTTATTGGAAACACTGTAGAAATTAAGAAAAAAAGTCAGCAGCAACAAAAAAATGCGCAATAACAAACAGAAATATCTGAGAATCAGAAGAGATGAGCAGAAGGAAAATCAATACCCCCCCCCCCCCCAAAAAAAAAAAAAAATTAAAAAAAATTAACATCAACCCTTTCCCCACCGCTGGCTGTACTACACACACCTGACCACTTTGTAAGGACAGAACTCCGAATGTGTTTAATGCTCACACTTTTGCTTCTCTGTAATCCTCAAATGTGGTGTATTTAACGCTGGGATCTATCAACAATATTCATATTTATAGGTAATGTTTGGTAGATGGCACCTTTTCAAAAAATTTATGGCGTTTCCTACTGGGTGGGTGTGCAACACCCACACACTTTATGTAAGGAAATGCTGGCCGGGTGGTTCACACCCGTTAACTTTCTATAGAATTTGTAGAAAGAAAGATCAGATATGTTGGTGTGGGAAATAATCCCAACTAACGTTTGCTAAACATGTATCACAATGAAGAAATGCAATTTTTAAAAACCCAGCCGAACTAGCAAAAATTGCGGGAAAAGGCTGGCCTTATAAATAAATGACATCAACACAACCAAGCACTTGCATAGCCATACAATAAAATGCCTGTGGATTTCTGGCGGTTGCTTTGGTGGGGGAAAAACGTTTGAGGCGACAGAGATGTAGTTTATAAGACACAGACTGCGTATCCCATGGAGAGCACGAAAAACAAATGAAAAAGTCTTGTTTGAAGCAAATTGCAGACGACAGCTTATGAAGAATATACGAAAGCGACAAACAAAGTTCATTGGATACACAATGCGGGAAGAAGCATTGGAGAACGTTCTATCAACGGGCAAGTTTGATGGAAAGAGAGGCAGAGGTAGACCACGCCAGCTCTCTTGTAACACACCTCTAATCTTCTAATCTTCGTCACTTGTAACAAAATTGTGTTGCAATTGCTGTAAAACGCTTACTAAAACAAAACGTATTGCCGAATGCATTATTTTGCACTGATTTGCATATTTAAGTGCACAGGTGTGAACCACTCAGCCGGTAGGTACCGTATCAGATATGAAATATGCTTATGAGGAAAGGGTTAAACAGCCAGCAATTAACCAGAATAACAAAAATACAGCTCTTCAGTAGCCGTTAAAAACGAGTACTGAAAGAATACAATCTGTTGCATAACATTAAAAAAGTGATGACGAGATGTGCATGTAAAGCAAGGTGTGGGTTGTTTATTGGGACGCAATGCAAAGAAGGTTATTTTGACATGGTGGAGGCTTGAAAAACAGGACTGTAGACAGCGTGGCTTTGATCAACCAGAGAGGGTTTACAGTAACACAGAGGTGTCACTCGTGGCGTTGCTCTATAACAACAGTGCATTGTTTCATGTATCGCCCGGCGCTTAATAATAATGATGATAATAATAATAATAACAATAATAATAATAATAATAATAATAATAAATTGCATTTATATAGCGCATTTCCACAAAGAAGTGCTCAATGCGCTGTACAATAATACAAAGAACATAATATGAAGCGCACAGCTCCTATAGTAATCCTCTTTCTCTCTCTCTCTCTCTCTCTCTCTCTCTCTCTCTCTCTCTCTCTCTCTCTCTCTCTCTCTCTCTCTCACTAGTCTCTCTCTCTCTCTCTCTCTCTCTCTCTCTCTCTCTCTCTCTCTCTCTCTCTCTCTCTCTCTCTCTCTCTCTCCAGCACATCCTTGAGTAAAGACAATCACACAAAGCTTACCCAGACACCCTCGCACACATTGATGAATTCACACAGCCATGAATTATTACAGAACAGAACAGCATGAATAAACGATACTGAGAGAAACTTGTATGCCACAGCGAAGCTCAGGGATGCTGTCATGTCATAAGAAAATGTAGTTCCGTCTGTAATTAGTTCTCTAGGATGCTAGGCTTTTAACAAAGAAGGGGGTCTGTGAATTCAGTTGCATATTATTTTAGGCTACTCCCCTGTCTCCCTCGGCCGTAAGAGTTATTTTTTAACTACATATAAATGCAGAACTGAATGCTCTTTTCCATGACGGTTTTATTATACAATTCTCCCTCTGAGAGGTCTATTTTCAAGGGAAGTAACCGAGAATTTGTAGAATGCACCAGAACGGCCCTCATTTCTTTATTTTTCAAACGAAGTCCAATTTCTGTTACTGCATCTACATTTAATGACACAAAAACACGAAATATCACACCTCAAGAAAGATTGACAAACAAAATTAATTGGGTAGGTTTTTTTTATACTATTATGGTCATAAGAGCGCCCTCTAATTTCCTTTCTATTGGTATAATTTATAATATGTCCATCTGGAACAGATAGATTATTGCAGGAGGATCGAGAGCAAAAAGTCGTGATATGAAATTTCCAGATTTAAGGGCAATAACTAGGAGTTGTAGAATGTACTAGAATGGCTCTCATTTCTTTATTTTATAACGGTGTACCATTTGACACATGCAGAACTGACTGCACTTCTC